GGAGAATTGAAAATGGAGGTGTGCAGCCCTGAGTACAGGCCAGTTTCATTACATCCCAGGTGTAGTGTAATCCCAGAGCACAGCAAAGCCATCTGCCCCAAAGTTGACTGTGTCTCCCACTGTGCGATGTTGCTATTTGTAAAGCAAACATTTGCTGCCCTTCAATCACATCATGAAGTTGCAAGGTTGGCAATACTGTATAGCATCAAAGTCCCTTTAGTCAAACCCACGACTGGATAGAAATCCATGAGTTCCAAAGGCTGCCCACTCACCTCTTCTGAGGAAAAATGCCACCGATGGGTCCTTCCAAGTCATCTGCCGTGCCATATGGCACATGGGCCACAACTGAGTATACCAGGGATTGCTAGCCTAGGTAAGGCACCATTTGACCAGATGTAAGAGAGGCTGCAGCATAATAATGCAATTGAATAGTCTTTGAATTGTCTGGGGGGTTTGATTTTGGGTAACAGACTGGATCAGATCTGGGGATGACAGAGGATAGCAGTACCAGTAAGGGAAAAGTGGGCAGAGGAGACAGGGCATGTGAATTAATGCACACTGTGATCAGGTGGTAAGGAATATACGCCGAACAATTCAGCCATCTAAGATGACAAGAGCTAATTTCTAAGTTCTCCAGGAAGCAATGTCTTTGATGAGCTCCCTCACTTAGGTGTCTGTATTCTTTTTTAATATTTTATTTATGTGTATGCGTGTATTGCCTGCATGTAGGTAAGTGCACCTGTGTTGTGCAATGCCCGCGAGGGCAGAAGAGGCCGTCGGATCCCCTGGAACTGGCGTTTCAGACAGTTGTTAGCTGCCATGTGGGTGCTAGGATTTGAACCCAGGTTTTCTGCAAGAACAGCCAGTTCTTAACTACTGAGCCATCTCTCCAGCCCAGATGTCTGTATTCTTACAAGCTCCTAGCACTTAAGTTAATGGGAGTATGCTTTTGCGTCTTGCAATCTAAGAGCCTGCTCAAACCTCTCATAACATAAAAACCCCAGGGAGCTGGAGAGCTGGCTCTGGGTTAAAAGCACTTACTGCTCTTGCAGAGGACCCAGGTTCAGTTCCTAGCACCCACATGGCTAACAACAGTCTGTAACTCCAGTTCCAGGGGAATCCAAATGCCTCTTCTCACCTTCTGACATGAGTACACTTACATACATACAGGTAATAAACTCATACACAAAAAAAAAGAAATATTTTTTTAAAAAGTAAAAAAAGCTACAGACCTGTAATGCACATCACAGCAGAACAAATAATTGAGGCATTAAAAAATATCACATACAAAAGGATTATACAACCTTAAGTCTAGGCTTTGACATTTACAATTATACAGAGAATAAGAAAAATGTGCAATGAAAATTACTATAGTTGTTCAAAAGATAAATGAAAATGTGAATAGTCTAACACCCACAGAGTTCTCTCAAAGCCATTTAAAAAGCAACCCTTCTTCAAACTGCAATTTAATTCAAGAATCAAGGGTGAGGAAGGCATTAGTGACTACGATTATTTTCCTAAGCTAACCTAGGAAAAATAAAAGCAATTTTCAACCCATAAAGTTCATTTTTAAAGACTGTGTGTGTGCATGTGTGTGTGCATGTGTGTGTGTGATGAATTTTAAAGATATTTTCTCTGTACAGAGAAAGAAAGAGATCGATAAGTCTTTTCACCATAACCAAGGTAGGCTGAGAAGATGATACCTAATTAACAAAGGAAATGAAAGTTTCCTACAGTTGTCAATTGAGCACCAAATTTGGTCTTATCAATTCAATGATCTGGGTAAACACATAAACTTTCAATTATTATGACAAGAAATATCACTTCAACTGTTACATTTAGCAATAAGCATTACTTTGGTAAGCTACACCTTACTGCTGTCATTATTTTGAAGTGTGGCATTCACACCTTCGCATTTTCAGAGCACTATGTAGTTCTTAATACGTGCTGTCTGTCAGTAATATGGTCAGTCAGGGAGTTCTGCAGCCCTGGGAGATAACTGTGTAAGACAGTCTTTACCCATACACTTCTTGCACTCCTCCCTTTGGCTTACAAACTGTACAACTATTTCAGGGAACAGGTCGTTTAACTGGGTGTTAGTGAAACTAGGCATTTCACCTTCCTGAATAAACCCATTTAGTTAGAGAACCTTTGAGGTATTCAGAGGAAGGGATTATAAACCCAGATGGGCTCTTAGGTATGTTTATAATATAACCGTAATAGTACTACCAAAGCAAGCAACTCGCACACTGAATGTTCCCATGTAGTTTCTTCTGGAGAAATTATGACATACTTTCAAAGTCAGAACTATCCCCATAATTGAGCATTCATAAATGCTGCATTCTCTTTAGAATTCACTTCTTTCACTCATGATTTTGATTCTCTGCTGCCCAAGAAAATCTAGGATAGAACATTAAAGTTACTGTAATTCCAAATCTATTTTGAATGATACTTCCATATATTACGATTTCTGTGTATTTCATATAAAACATCTTAATCGTCTTTATACCCTCTCACCACCAGATTTCATGTATTCTGTCTTTTATGTTAAGGCCTACCAAGCCAAGTTAGTGTACTCAAATGTCCTTCAATGCAAGTTCATCCACAGGGTCTAGTCAGCCTATCTAAGATCTTGCCCTTAAAGAAAATCAACTCTTCAGGTCTAGAAAGATGGCTCAGTGTTAAGAGCACTGCCTGCTCTTGCAGAAGACCCAGGTTTGGTTCCCAGCATCCACATGGAAGCTAAAAGCCATCTGTAACTCCAGTTCCAGAGGATTCAACATCCTCTTCTGACCTCCCCAGGCATTGCACAACACAGGTACACTTACACACATAAATAAAAATAAATAAGAAAAAGAAAATCAACTCTCCCTCACCCAGCAGCAATCAGTTGCCAAATAGTTCTTTGGCTAAGGTTGGGCCTGCTGCCCATTTCCCCAGTTCTATGCTGGGTTTTTGTCTGCTTGAGTTTGCACTGCTCTTGTGCATACTGTCACTACTGCTGTAGGTTCATATGCACAAGGTCCCAGGAGCCTGTACAACTGTTTCCATATGGTCATGCACCTCCTCCCCTGGCTCTTACAATCTTTCCGCCCCTCTTCTGCAATGGTCCCTAAGCCCTGGATAGATGAAGTTTAATAAAAGTCCTGTTTGGGAACCCACAAAAATTCAATAAAAATTATACAAAAAAAATGTATATATCTAGCACCCAAATCTTTGTACCTTGCACTATTTTCAAATAAAAGGAATCAGAGCTCTTAAAAACAAAATGATTTCTGTTGAACTTTTCCTTTCTCCCCCCTGCAATGGTCCCTAAGCCCTGGATAGATGAAGTTTAATAAAAGTCCTGTTTGGGAACCCACAAAAATTCAATAAAAATTATACAAAAAAAAATGTATATATCTAGCACCCAAATCTTTGTACCTTGCACTATTTTCAAATAAAAGGAATCAGAGCTCTTAAAAGCAAAATGATTTCTGTTGAACTTTTCCTTTCTCCCCCCTGGCACTGGGTATCAAACCCAGGGCCTTGAAGGTTAGGTAAGCAGGCACACTGAGCTAATCCCCTTGCCAATATATTGAGATTTCAGAAAGTATAGTAATATGTAATATAGTCTTAAAATACCACATTTATTATATACATTGCTACATCCCATTCCCCTACAAAACACTAACTTAGCAAATACTTAGTACTAAAATTGTGGACTTGACGATATAATTAACTTATTATTCAAACCAAATTGTCAAAATGCACAGCGTAATTTAATACTAGTATTTGGACATTACTTTTTAATTCAGAAAGGTTAAATGTTTTGATTTCTGTTCAAAAATTAATTTCCTTCATATTTAAAGAAAATCTATTCAGAATTTTTCTTATCTTCAAATATGCTATGAACAGTCCCCTCTAGTTCACTATTAGATGTGCCAGGTAACAGCTCAGCACAATTTTGTGACTACTTCTTCATTTCGGCTATGATTTAGACTGTATGTATCCAATAAACAATTATGAAGCTTGATAATGGAGGTATAAGTCACAATTTATTCATTATTGGCTCTTTTGAGGTGTCAGGTGGCCCAGGCTGGTCTCCAGCTTACTCTAAGTGTAGATAGCTCTGAACTCCTCTTCCTCTTGTTTCTGCCTCTGGAGTCCCGACATTACAGTCTTTTACCACCAAGCTGACCCTTCAAACACTCTTAATGGAAAACTGACAGTCTTTCTGATGCAAAATTTGGCAGTTTAACAAAACTTTTTACCTTTTAAAGGTATGAATTCTGGAATGAGAATTAAAGAACAGCACATTCATGAAGCTATAGAAAACTTTTCTGCTATTTCAAACATTTTGTACCAGAGAAAGATTCTGAAATTTATATTACCACTCTGAAAGATTTATTAGAAAGTGTTATATTTTAAAGTATTAAACAATTTCTTGAGGCATATGTATATATGGACATACACACACACACACACACACACACACACACACACACACACACACACACAACATATAGTATACCAGAGGGAGCTTTAAAACAAACACTAAACAACAGGTTAATTAGCTAGGCATGGTGGTACTCATCTACAGTCCCAGCTCTTGGGAGGTTGAGGCAGGATGGAAAGGTCAAGGTCAACAAGGCATACACAGCAAGACCTTGTTTCAAAATAAATAGAAAATAAAAATTTAAAACAAGGAACATATAGTTAATTATAGAAGAAAATGAGTGCAAATTTAAGTTATGAGTCACATAAGTTATTGCTCATGTAAATTTCATACATTAAAAAATAAAGCAAGTAAGCTGGGCGTGGTGGCACACACCTTTAGTCCCAGCACTCAGGAGGCAGAGACAGGAGGATCTCTATGAGTTCAAGGCCAGACTGATCTACATAGAGAATTCCAGACCACCCAAGGCTACATAGGGAGACTCCCCCATCTCAAAAAAAAATTAAAAAACGCAAAATTTTTATAATTTTTATTGTAGTCAACCATATAATACACAAAATAGTAAATATAAATCATAGGCTAATTTATTAATAGACCATAGATACAAATTATTTATACATATATCAAACATTAATATTTTAAGAAAAAAAAAGTTAACATATATCAAACATTAATATTTTAAGAAAATAAAAGTTAAACAAAATAGAAGTTAACATTCCAGTACAGGAAATGGCAGCGATCCACAAATGCCAAATTATTTCCATCACATTCTAAGCACAAATTTTATCTCCATTTATGTAGACTTTATAACAGAAAATGCTAAAATTAAACTTCAGCGTAAATCTCTATTCCAGTTCTTTACCTACGTTAAGGTATTCTCATTTCAAAGAAATTAGTTTCAGCTTTTCAGAACAATTATTTTTTGTTTTTTTGGTCTTTTTGAGACAGGGTCTCCCTGTAGCCCCAGCTGGCCTTGAACTCAGAGAGATCTGCCTGCCTCTGCCTCCAGAGTGCTGGGATTAACGGTGTTTGCCACCATGCCTGACTCAGAAGAGTTATTTTTAACACTGGCACTCTTCCTGTTCAGATCACAAAATAAAAATCTTCTCTTCTGTCAGCAAGTTCATTTTTAAAACTGTCCATCAGGTTCTTGGTTCAGCGTTTTCTTTTCCTCTTGGGTGTAGTAAACTCTATGGATACAAAGTTAAGAAGTCCATCAATTCTTTAAAAAACTGACCCTTCAATGACATCTCTAGGTGATAATATACACTGACTGAAACTCCATGGATGTTTAAATGCTGTAACACAAAAAGGTCCTCACAGCAAAGACCCCAGGGGAGGTAGTGAGGAGGGGACGAATAACAAAGCATACTGATGTGCAGGTACAGCAGTGTCATACTGAAGCCCATTTCCTTGTTGCTAACTTAAAAGGAAAAAACAGAACTCAGGCTGACACACACATGAATCTATTTCTTCAAATGGAATTGCAGTTCAAAACTTCCTACCTACAATGAGACAAGGATTTCAATCTTACTGAGGTATCAAATGCAACAGTGGATCTCAGTCACCCTAAATCCTACTTCATAATTATTAAATTAACTGAAATAGGGGTATGCCCCCACTCCTCCAAATAATGAGCATGGACCAGGGCACAGGAACCACAAGTTATCTAGGCCAGTGCAAAGACAGATAAAGTGAGTAAGGTTCCAGTTCCACTACAATGAAATCTGGAAACATAGTACCATACATCTTTCTGGTTCTCGCAGTTGATTCCAAAACCAGTACTCAAATAAGTATTCATCTTTAAGAGAAGACACAGAAACAAGACCAGTAGGAAAGATATGAAAAAAAGAAATATTTCCCACCAATGAAAACTGTAAAGGGATGTCAGGGAAGGAAACATATAAATCAGGAAGAAAAAAGAAAACATTTCTAGAAGAGTGGCAGCCAGAACAGAGCACATCAGGTCAACAGTCTGCAAGTGACTTCTGTGAGACAGTGACACCAACAGATCCCTAACAGGCACCTGCATCCATTTCCTGTATCACGACTCACTGTGGAGCACAGTTAATGAATGGTATGACTAGCACTGACGTACTTCAATGATCCAAAGACAAAAGGATTTAAGAGCCCACAGTCACCTGTCATGTGGAGGGTCTAAACATCCATCATGTAAGCACAAGGCTCCTTCACTAATGAGATGAACTTTCATCTGTACCTGTTTCACTAAAGTAGTCAGTCTCCTCTTCCTCTTCTGTAATGATAGGCATACTCAGATGTAAAGACTTTTCTTCCTTATTCTGAACATTACCTAGAGATAGTGAGAAATGACTGTACATAAAAACAAAGAATACTGATCTTTAAAAAAAGCTTTTAATAAAAATGTCACCTTAACAATCTAAAAACTTAGATGTTTAAACAAAAAACTGAAATTATAACATAATTACACATTCTAAAGTGTAAATCTTTTTTTTTTTTTTTTTTTCTTTTTTTTTCCTTTGGAGACAGGGTCTCCCTGTAGCCCCAGGCTGGCCTTGAACTCAGAGATCCACCTGCCTCTGCCTCCCGAATGCTGGGATTAAGGGCATGCACCACGACGCTCGGCTTAAGTACAAATCTTTTTAAATTTTATTTTCTAATTAGCTTACCAAGTCTCAGGTTCCATGGGACTCTCATACATGCATAGCTCAGCTGACTCTTCTCTCCCAATCTCTCCTCTCCCCTAGCTCCTTCAAAATTTTTCTTAAGTATTAATGTATTTGTATCATTGGGCATGGTAGCACACACCTATAACCTTGACACTTGTGAGGATGTTCAGTTTGAGGACAGCCTGGGCTACAAAGTGAGTTCAAAGTCAGTCTAGACTACCCAGTGAAATCCTGTCTCAGAAAACAAAAGAAGCCAGACACTGGAGCATATACCTTTAACCTTTAATACTAGCACTCAAGAAGCTGATGCAGGCTGATGCAGGAGGATCCCATGTCAGAGGCCTTATTGGGCTACACAGCAAGTTCCAGGCCAACCTGGGCTACAAACTGAAACCCTGAATCCAAAAAAAAAAAAAAAAAAAAGAACCCACATACCATGAATATAGTATATACTTCTTTTATTATTGAAAATGGAAAGAATGAGAAGAAACAAAATCAGAGATATGCTATTCAATTTTTTTCAAAGAAAATGGGGTGTCTGCAGGGGCCAAGCATGTGTGACTTCTATTAATCCATTGCAAACATAATTTTAAAATTGAGCAGCCTCAGTTAGCTTTATGTTTTAATACAGACACATTTTCTTTTGCTCCAAACACATGCTATTTCTTTGCCTGTAATTTGTCAGTGACTTTCTACTTTCAAAAACACTACAGGGGTGGGGATGTGGCTCAGTTGGTAGAGTACTTGCCTGGCGTGCTAGAGTCTTGGGTTCAAAAACCTAGCACCACATGGTAATGCACATCTATAATCTGGTACTTGGGAGGTAGACGGCAAAAGGACCAGAAGTTCAAGGTCCTCCTGAACTATATGGCAAGTTGAAGGCCAAGGAGCCATCACAGGACCAACTGGTTGGGCAGACTGAGCACATGTCCCCCCACGTGAGTGAGATCCTCATCATGCCACCCATACTCCTCCAGCCTCTACCCAACAGCCTCCACTCAACACTCTCCCACAGGCAAGGCGCTCAGCATTGCCTCATCCTTTCCATCGGCTTCTCCATTTCACGTTCATCCCTGTCAGAGCACCTCTGTTCTACAACCACAGGACCAGACTCTTACGACTCCTAAAGCCGACCTACCACGATAGCTTTCTACTAAGCACTCTTATTTTCAGTTCATTAACTCCAACCTACCACATTACCCCTAGATACATTTTCAAGGAAAACCCAAGTCATGCCTCTTTTTTGCTCCAGAATTTCATATAAGTCACCTCTGCCTAGCAAATTAAATCTAAGCTTCTTGATTCCACTTTCAAGGTCTGGCCACAATACAATTCTCAACAGCACAATCATTAAACAGCATTGCTTATACATGAACCAAATTGAACGTCACTCAATCATCCCAGCTACTTTGTCCTTTTCATGGTATCTCCTCTGCTTTTCTTAGTCTGTGGACTTCCTTTAGCTTTCTAATAACTACAGAGCATTCCTTTGTGTGGACCTTCCCCATGAAGGATTGTACACTAAAGCCACCAGTCAAAAGAAAACCCTGAAGACTTCAGTTGCTTCTTGACAGGCATTTGGTCACAGTGATTCGAAAAGTAGCCAATATAGATACTGTAGTTCCTTTCCATTTCTTTATATATTTAAAAGATCAGCTCGTTACCATACAAAATAACTGCTGAGATTTTTCACTGGGATTCACTGACTCTATAGAGGAATTTGGGTTTAGCTGCTATTACTATTGGGTCTGCCAACCCATAAAAACCATGCATCTCATTTAATTAAGATTTCATTGGCTAGCCATGGTGGCACATGCCTTTAATCCCAGCACCTTGGAGGCAGAGGCCAGCAGACCTCAGTGAGATCAAGGCCAGCCTGATCTACATAGTGAGTTCCAGGTCAAGCTGTGGCTACCGGGAGACCCTGTCTCAAAAAAATAAATAAATAAAAAATAAAAAATTCATTCACTGGAGTCTAGTTAGCCCATCTAGAGATTGTAAATAAGGTCCACTCTCCCTCACCCAGTAGTAATCAGTCTCCAATGATTCCCAGGATGAATTTGCACGGAAAGACATCTGGGTACAAATGATTGACTGGATAGGACTTAGCATGTATAGCAGAATGCATGAGGTCCATCAGGGAGAGGTTTGGGGGGGGGCATGGATAGAGAAAGGGTCTAAATAGGATTAAGAGCTGTTGTGTGGTGAAATGTACAAAAGCTCAATTAAAAAATACACTTTTTTGGTCTTTTTGAGACAGGTCTCCCTGTAGCCCCAGCTGGCCTAGAACTCTGGACTGCAGCGCACTGGTCACTAGAGGAGAAGTAGTAGCAGTCAAAAGGGTGGGCTGCTGAGGAGTAGGGGGAAGGGGAGGGGATGGGGATAGGGACTGGACCAGAACCTCAATAAGGTTTTTCAGAGTAGCAGGGCAGAGGTGACAAGCATTTGACCAGCAGCCTCATCAGCTAGCAGCAGCCTTTTCCACTGGACTAAAGGCCCTCTGGGAGTTGCCTCAGGAAGTCAAAAACCCAAGTCCTAGTTCCCAGACACAGCAGTACCAGAAGTCATGCAGGTAAGCCACGTGAAGAAGGGCTAGGGCTCTAGTACACTCCATCCCCAGCCCCTTTCCTAAGTTTCCACTTCAAGAGCTCTTTGAAATGTTTTGTTTTGTCTTTTGAGACAGGATCTCCTTGTAGCCCCAGCTAGCCTAGAACTCGCTTATGTAGACCAGGCTAGCCTCAAACTCAGAGATCTACCTGCTTCTGTCTCCGGAGTGCTGGAATTAAAGGCGTGTGCCACTACACCCAGCAATAATTTTAAAAAAAGAATATAAATTCATTTAAAAAAACCCAAAGATGACTTTGATTTCTTTCATCATTATAGCTCTCAACATACAGATTTTGTATATATTTTGTTACCTATATATCTAAATAATTGGTTTTTAATTTCAATGCCTAATTAGTCACTAGTATAGGAAATATTAACCATTGTTCTGGTGTGACTAAAAATATTGACCAAAACCAACTTGGGGAGGAAAGGGTTTATCTGATTTATAGCAGTCTATCATCAATGGAAGCAAGGCAGGAACTCAGAGCAGGAACCTAGAACATGGACCACGAAGGAACGCTATTTACTGGCTTGCTCCCCTGGCCAGTGCTCATCCTGTTTTCTTATACGACACAGGCCCACCTGCCCAGGGGTGGCAATGCTCACAGTGGGCTGGGCCACCCTTCCACATCACTTAACAATCAAGAAAATGCTCCACAGACATGGCCACAGGTCAATTCAATAGAGAAAATTCAATTGAGGCTCCCTCCACCCAGGTGTATCAAGTTTGACGAATGAAGCTATTCAGCACAACCATACACCTTGTAATCTTCCTAAATTCAGCTATTAGGAGCTGGTGGTACAGTTCAGTCATAGAATACCTTCCCAGCATATAAGACCCTTGGTTTAAGCCTAAGAACTGAGGAGAATGAGGAGACCTGGGTGGTGGGGGTGGGACACCCACTAAATTCAATTGTTAATTTCATTTGCAAACAAACCTATTTTTTCCTTTCTAATATGGGTATCCACTGTCTCTTTTGTTAGCTTACTAGTTAGGTCTTCTAAAATAATATGTAATAGGAATCTAGATGGGCATCCTTGCCTCATTCTTGTTTTAGGGGAAAAGGGTTATTTTTCCATTAACTATGATATTAAGGTACTGTGCCTGATACAAATCCATCAGATTAAGTTTCCTTCTAATTGTGATGGGCTCAGTTTTTACAAGCCACTGCTAGATTTTGTTAAGTATCTGTCTGACTGAGAGAATTACACTGGTATTCTCTTTTATTCAGCTAATATGAATTATACTGGCTTATTTCTTACATTACCAGGATAAACTCTGAGAGTTCATTTGATTTGCTAGTATCTTGAAGGATTTTTTTTCGTGTATGCTCATGAAGGACACTCGTCTTTAGTTTTCATTTCTTGAAATAACAGTAAGCTAGAAAGTGTTATCTCTTGAATTTTCTGAAAGAATTTGTATAGAAACACATTTATAAGCTAAGTGCAGTGGTACGTGACCAAACCCAGCCCACAGGAGGCTGAGGCAGGAGGATTGAGAATTTAAAGTCTGCCTAAACTACAAAGATTCTGTCTCAAAGAGCCAGGGGCTAGAGATGGCAGGAGTGAATACTTGCCAAACATGCACATGGCCCTGATATCAATCCCCAAGACTGAAAACATAACTTGTAGTAATTACCAGTAAGGCATCTAGGAGTTTATTTCTTTAGTAGGTATGAGACTATTGAGATTTTTCTATTTCTTATGTCAATTTGAGGTATGTCTTAGAAGAAATTTCTATTTTATTTAGCTATATTACTGTAATGATAAAACTCACTTTCCTTATCAACCTTTCTACCTAGTATCCCTAACTACTAAATTTTTATCTAATTTTTTGTTCATCTAATTTTTACACATAAAGTCAGTCATTCACAAGTCATAAAGATTGTGTAGCTTCTCTTCCTGATAATGCACCTTGATTCACTTTCCTAATTACACCAACTAGCTCTGAAGAGCAATGGCAAATGAAACCGACACTGCTAGTGCAGGCCCCGGTGCTGAGGGGCTTGCCCGGCTTTCTCTAGCTCTATCTCACTTGATCTTCTACTTCTTTTATCCTGGACAGGGTTATGTGGTCTCTGCTGAACCTGACCCATCAGATGCTTCTGTAAGTATACTTCTACTGGAATATTCACTTGTTTTTATATTGTCTGTAACTATTTTCATAGTATTATGGCAGCTGAGTTGCTGTAAAAGAAATTACACAGCTCACCAAGTCTAACATATCTTACTTTACAATTTGATGACCCCTAACCTAAAGAATTTGTTTTTTAAAATCAAGGCTAGATACTAGATATTATCAAGTATTTCCTTTGATAATTATTAAAATTAATGTACATCATCCCCTTGAACCTAATATATGATCAATTATATTATCAGATTCCAATTAATTGCAGCATGATTGCACCCTGGAAGAAGTCCACTCTAGCACGCTTTTTGGGGGGTTTTATGTAATTTAGGATTTTTATCATAAAATATATAATGAGTTTGTTCTAATAATTGCTTCACAGTACCTGCTAGCCTAAAAGTAGAAAGCTTTCCTTTTGAAGTCCTTCTTGGCTGCTCTTAACTATGGGTTTTCTTCCTCAGAACTCTTAGAGCACTTCAAGCAACTACTACAGCACATAATCATATTGAAATATACTAAAGGTATTTCTCCACTGCAAGATAGAGGGGGTGAGACACACATTCAAAAACTGCACATTATCTTCATAAACTCCAGAGGTAGCTAGGATTGTGTTTCATATAAGCATTAAGTACTTAATACGTCTACTGTTGTTTCTTCATCACCCCTCCCATGGTCCTGTTAATACATTCCAATCTTAGGTATGGTGAATGTATAGTATTTGTGCAATCTTTGAAAAACCAAACCATTAAAATACAGTCATTTAAAGGTAAAATAGTGAAGGTCATTTCACACTCTATTAGAAGAAAGTTGATTTAACTGAATTATAGGAAATAAAGTCTATACAATGCATTGCTTACCATTAGCTTATTCTACATAAGAGTTGGAGTCACACACATCATTATTAATGAAGCATGCACTGGATCATACTATTTGGACAAGTTATTTATTCTGAATAAGCCCAAATTTGTCATTTATGAAATGATAACTTTGATAAACTTCCTAGGATCTCTTCAGCAACAAGATCCCAAGAATTCAAGGAAACTGACTTACTTGTACTATTAAATTTCACAGTGTCCTTAAACAAATCTCTCAACTTTCTTTTTTTGTGGGACAGGACCTTGTTATATAGCTCAAGCTGACCTTAAACTCAGAGTTGTCCGGCCCCAGTCACCAGTGTGCTGGTGTTCCCCCACCATGCCCAGCTCTAAGCCATCCTAACAAAGAAGCACCCACTGTCCCCAGCAAAGTGTCAGGAGGACTTGAAAAGGGTACCTTTGCTTCTGGAAGACCCCTTCTTTCCTGGTGCTCTGGCTGTGTCTCTGGCTCTCTTCTTCACAGCTTTTTCTTGAACTTGCCCAGATGCAGAGTCTGAGTCAGATGAGTCAAGTCTGACTTGGCGATGCCTCCTTGACTTGGATGACTTAGGAGTTAAAACCACAATAAGTAATGAAAGGACTCCAACTGACAATGAGGAAAGACATAAGAAACACCTGTCATAAAGTCTTTTGCTCCTACCTCACATGTACTATATATGAACGTGTGCACAGACAGTCTTTTCCCTTGATAACTAAGTTATAGCACAAATACTAAAAATAATGTCTCAAAACATAATACTTAAGAAATATCCCTACTATGTACTGGGTATGGTTGAGTACACCTTTCATCCCAGCACTCGGGAGGCAGAGGTGGACTAATGTCTGCAAGTTTAAGGCCAGCCTGATTTACACAGCGAGTTCCAGGCCAGTTGCGGGTTACAGGGAGACCCTGTATCAAAATCAAAATAAAACAAAAACAAACAAAAAACCTCTAATAGAAACAGACTGAGAATAGAAAAGAAAAATAAGAAAGTTCAAGAAAAGAAAATATACAATACAAAAATATAGGGGCTGGAGAGATGGCTCAATGGCTATGAATACTACCTGCTCTTGCAGAGGACCTGGGTTTAATTCCCAGCACCCACACGGCAGCTAACAACCACCTAGAACTCTGGTTCCAGGGGATCCAAGGCCCTCTTCTTACCTCTGAGGACACTGCACAACATGGGTGCACTTCCATATATGCAGGTTATACATTCATACACATAAAAGAGAATAAATAAGAACTGGAGAGATGGCTCAGGGGTTAAGAGCACTGGCTGCCCTTGCAGAAGACCTGGGTCCCATTCCCAGCACCCACATGGAGGCTAACAACCATCCATAACTCCAGTTCCAGAGAATCCAACACCCTCTTCTGACCTTTGCAGGCATTGCATGACATGGGTGCACCTACCTACATGAAGGCAATACACTCATACACATAAAATAAAAGCAATAAAATATTTAAAAATAAATAAAATTTAAAAATACAAAAAGATAATTTAAAAAATACAAAGCATTCCTCAGATACAAAGTGTCAGACTGAAAGAATGGCCACCTGAGTGCCACAAATTAATGAAAAGGAAAAAGGACACTCCCAAACCTCACAGGGTCAGGCGTCCCCAAAGTTGAAGATGACAAAGAACATGGCTTCAAAATTTAGGTAAACACCAAAGAAACAGCTGAAGAAGAAGCACTGAAGGCGGTCCCCACTCACCATGGGAGGACACATGGGCACTACCAGGCTACATACTGGGACTGTTGGGTTACTATTTGACTTTTAAACTACGTATATTAGATGAAAGATTAAAATGTAATGTCAAAAACATGCAATTTCCAAGTTGGCTTATTAAACAAATAACTTACCTGAGCAACAACTGAAAAGGCTTTCGCTTTTATTTTTGCTAAAGATTCTGCTCTTTCACATCTCTGGAAGAAACATAAACAAGAAGGAAAAACAAAGTTGAAGTACATAAACATTAGGTAAAATTATGAAAATCCAAGTATTTGTCTTCGGGATCAAGACTTAAGAGGAAGGTAAAAGAAATCAACATTTTAGGCATACTGTAAACATGATTCAGGCACATCGTTAACATGATTCAAGCACAAGTTGATGCGTAATCACCCATGACATTCTCTGAAGACAGCAGGTGGCATAATGCCAACCCTCATAGGTACTTATCAATTCATCAAGACTCACAGAGGGGCACAGGGACAAAAGACCTGGTGATAAAGCAGAGCTCTCAACTGCCATTCCCTTCTCATCTGCCTGTGTCTAAGGATGGCTCCATGCCCCATCCACTAAGATAGATGAAGCACTGGACAGGCACAGGAAACAACAAAAAGTACCCTAAGTGTTACAAGGGCTGAAAGGCTGAAAAGTGAGAAGAGACATTACAAAAGCCTTACTCTGACCTGGAAAGCACATTCCATCCTCCTCTCCTTTACCCACTAAAAACTGCTAAGATCCACTCCCAACCTATATTCAGCATGCCCTGCACAAGACCTCCAGTGAAGAACAGCCTAGCTTTCCCAGAACTCACACATCACAATTTCCCCAGCATTTTGGTAAAACTGACAAGGGTCATAATGCCTACTGTGCAAAATTCAACCACACGCAAAAGGAAGAGAAGCGAAGCAAACCGCTGCCCCATAAGCGTCAGTTAGCAGCTTTCTGACCTCTGGTTCTTGGGATGTTCCTTCACCATCTTCTTCTCCATCTTTAAATTTTGATTTTAAGGATGGATTCTGAAAGAACAAAAATATTTGTATGTTACATATACAGATATTTATGATTCCATTAGTTACAGATGTATTTTACAATAGTGAGAATCAGTTAATTACTGAAAAAACAGAAGATCGGTTCACATTACTGCAGCATGGTTTACCAAGCACATTAAGATCACAAAGTTTGGGGCTGGAGAGATGGCTCAGTGGTTAGAGTACTAACTGTTCTTGCAGGGGACCTGGGTTAGATTCCCAGCACCCACATGGCAGCTAACAAACATCCTTAACTCTAGTTCCAGGAGATCTGACACCCTCTTCTGACATCCTTGGGCACTGCACAACATGGGTGCAATTACAAACATGCAAGCAATACACTCATCATAAAATAAAAATAATTTTCTTTTTAAATTACAAAGTTTTAGGCTGGCAAGATGGCTGTATAGGTAAAGGTGCTTGTTGCCAAGGCTAATGACCTGAGTTTAATCCCCAGGACTCACATGCTAGGAGAGAACCAACTCCTATAAATTGTCCTCTGATTTCCATGTATATGTATGCACACACACAAATAAGTATTAAAAAAAAAGTTTTTAAAGATCACAAAGTTTCAAAATAGTTCAATAAGTCACTACTAAATTACCTAATTCCCCCTGCCTGATGGATACCATGCGCTTCCTGTGGTATTCAGAAAACTGGCTTATTTCATCTCCTTTCAGGTTTTCTAAAGTTTAGTAATACTTAGAATACTAAGATTATTAAATTAAGTGTCTCTATCACTTTTGTAATCTGTTTGCAACAATGTATCTGTACATTCTAAAACTTACTAGCCTCATTAAATGTGAGTAATGAAACTATTTTCTTCCACCCAAGGCTATCATCTCCTTGTTACCTACCTGCTACTTAACTTTTCTAAAATTAAATACTTGGAGACAGCTTCCTTTATATCATGGGAAGCTGAACAGTAGCAACAATCTTTGGACAATACACAGAAGTAACTTCTAGTATTTGTGAAAACACTAACACATGATCAGTTACAAACTAACCAGAAATTACTTATTTTTTTTACTTTTATTTTTCTTAGAAATGTGTACTAAAATGAAATGGAATAGTAGTTTGAAAGGTAAATTTAGCAAGGTTGGCACTTAGGTTTCCAGAATAAAAGAAGTTTCTCCATTTGTAAAGGCTGAGGTAGAACACAGCAGTTCCAGCATCAACACCTTTGCCATCAGAAAACTAAGTGGAAAATCTGTGCTGATGAGATTTTCAAATGGCTAAGCCATACAAGAGAAACAATGCTGGAGACAGAGAAGAGCTCACTTGCCCCATCATTGGGTTGAGCCTCCCATGGTGTACAGTGTAAGTGCAGTGCGGCCAGTGGTACCAGACTCTTAGATTTGTAAGAGAAGCTAGTTTTTCAGAATTTTAGATGCAGTCCACTACTATTTACACGTTGGCAACTAACTCAAGACTGGAATCAATACTATACCAATCCAGTGATCTATATGACGGGTTTGGTCCAAAGTAGAAAACACCAAGTTACAAAGATCATAATAAATGTGCAGTATAAGATCACTACTTTCCTATTTCTCTCTCCCTCCCTCGCCATTTAAATAATGTCAGAAGGCTAGTGTGTAAAGCCCTAACTAGAAAGCAAAATCGTCACTCCACAGGAATGCAGTAGCTTCGTCAGGCTGCCTCTGGACATTACCACTCACATTTAAATAAGTGTGCATGGGGTAAGATATCAGGAAGCAGTCACTTACCTTCCTGTCTTTATGCCACTGCTGATGCTCCAAAACTATGCTCTTAATGTTGTCAAAAAAATCATCTTTTATCAAACTGAGGGCTTTGTCTGGCATGGACTTATCAGCTGAAATGACATGTTTCATGCTTTGATAATGATCATGAACATTCAGCATTTCCTAAAAGTGAAAAGATGAGCCTTTTATTTTTTTAATGATTGTTCAGACTAGTGATAGAATTATAGGCATATACATCATGCCTGACCCTTTATTTCCATTTTTGATGATAAGATTAAAGGCAAACTAATTCAAAATACAATCACTTCATAAAGTGACTATGAGGTAACAGGAAATAATATGTTGTCATATGCAAGTAAGATGATGAGAGCAAAACAGTCAACAATCAAGATACACTGGTACACAGAAACACTAAAATACTAGTTAGGTTACAAAATTACATTTCAGAATTTAACAGAAATTATTTATAGTACAATATAACATTAAATACTGAAAACTAAGATCATATTTCTGTATCATAACTGTCACATTAAGCAGGCTTACACAGTCCTTGGTCTCTGCTGGAAAGAGTAAATTCCATGTAACTACTCTCACCCAACCCCCCACAGAATCCCAAAGCCTGTGCACCCATCCTGTAAATTTCATCCTTAATTGACTGGTAAGATTCAGGATAAAATAGTGATTTATGAAATCATTTGTGGCACCATTTATCCACTAGATTTTCCTCTCCAGGAAATCTCAAGTTAAACAGACAGGTTTGTGGAGCAAGTGGCTGGCACACCACATTCAGAATTAAGAATGAAACCTGGCAGGCTTGTCTCTGCCATCAGCAGAAAGCTATGGACAGGTGTGTTTCAGGTGGCCCTGCAGCATGCAAGCACCCCAAGCTGGTCTCTGTGGTTCTTTCCTTGGTAGAACTGACTCCTGTTCAAGAACTCATGAACAAGCTGGGCATGGTGGCGCACATGCCCTAATTCCAGCACTTGGGAGGCAGAATCAAGTGGCTTTCAGTGAGATGGAAACCAGCTTGGTCTACAAAGTAAGTTCCAGGCCAGCTGGGGCTACACGGAGACCCTGTCTCAAAATACAAACAACACAAACAAACAAAGAAGTCTGGAACTACTACTCAGATGTGCAGGGAAGACCAGTCAGATACTAACTCCAATCTCTAAAGCTTTAAAATCATTCCTCTCAGCCAGAAAGATAAAGCATGCATTCCTTCTGTTAAACAAAGTACTTTCATTGCCCCACACTTCCTTCTCTGTGAGTTGCCAGAGGTCAAGAACCTTGCCCCTGTCCAACTGCAGGTGCTCATGACTGCTGAATAACACCTGTCTGACCTTAGTCCCAGCTCAGACCAGGCCCTTATTGTCCAAGGATCACGCACTGTAACTACTCAGAACTGATGTGAACCTTAGCTCCCTTACTTCGGGATTACCTAATATCGCTGTGCCTCAGTTAACTCAACTTTAGTCTTAAAAAGTTAAGTAGAAAAGGACAGTTCACACAAGCATCTCCCACAGCTCCTGTGCTGTGTGGTCTTCAGACGTTTAGTAACATTAGCTTCTTGTTAATGCAACAATTCTTAATAGCAATAACCTTTGAAAATCTAAGGATAGTTATTGCACTTCAACCTAACCAAGTGCCCTGTATATTAATACTCCATACAATTTAGTGAGGGAAGGGGAAATGAACTAAAAGGCCACCCATGAACTTCAGGTTGAGAATCTCTGCTCAAAAATAAAGACACTTAGCCAGCCAGGCATGGTGGTGCTGTGGCTATAGGGAATTCCTGTCTCAAAAAGACCAAGGAAAGAAAGCAAAGAAAGAAAAGAAAAGAAAGTCACTTTACAAAAGAAGGCCAGAGTACTTTCACAATTTACTACTTGACCTACAAATACCACAAATGCAACCTGGCAGACAGACTGACACACCTGGGGTAGCTAGGCAAACACCTGTGCAAATTAAAGTCCAATCTCTCATTACTGACAGAAAAAGAGGCAACATTTACTGAGGGCTCACCATGTGCCTACACCACTCAGCACTCTTCAGGCATCATCTTTCAGTCCCCACAAGAAAGATGGACAGATGGCAATCCTATATTATGAAAGAGGAGGGACACCACATCTCAAAGGGATTTAAAAGATGACTAGCAAGTCCCTCCTCTTCCTCTCTGCTCTTGTAATGTTGAAATGTCATTAATTTGAAGGTATGACCTTGTGGTGGGCTTCTGTTTTAACCCAAAGGCAGTATTTTAAATTCATGTATGTGAATACTTATTATACAAGATGTTTTGTAGAGGGCTTTACTTTAGATGCTTTAGAAAAAAATAAGAGCATTTTATGACTAAAATCATTTCAGATATTATCAATATCTGGTGGATGAAGCTATAACTTCAACAGAGAATTGGCAATAAAACCATTTCCCCAACACTTCAAAAACAAACTCACCTCTAATACATCAGAAGTGATGAGTTTCATGACACGATCATTTGGGTCCTTAAATTCTTGGGTAACTTCAGTTTGCTGACTTTTTTTCTTCATTCTACATGAAAGCTAAATACAACGAGTGTCTTAAAATGATCACCTTGGCTGACAAGATGGCTTAGCAGGTAAAGGAACTTGCCAAGAAAGCCTACGACTGAGTTAGACCTCTGAGATCTCAGTAAAAAGAAAAAAGAGAGAACCAACTCCAAAGTTGTCCTCTGACCAGCACACATATGCAGTATCATGTGCACAATACCCCATGAACCTATCCACATACATTATGCATACACACACACACACACACACACACACACACACACACACTGAATTGAATTTTAAATGAACATCTTTGAAGAGACTTTTTCTTAAAGTACGTTAAGTATAAGCTAGTAGTCAAAGGGCACATCTAGTCAATATCCCTTTCCCAGAGACCACTAAGCATCACACATGCCACATATGACAAATTCTCATGAGATTTAAAGGTGTCACATGATTTGCAGAAATAGAATTTCTTCTCTTCCAACCTAGGGTCTCAATTTGTCAAAAACTGAAGAAATAGTAGATTGTATTAGAAATTTCCACTTTTAACCAACTGCCATTAGAATTTCATAGTCCCCTCTGAGTAAGCCCCTTGATGTGTAAATGAAGAAAGGCATGTGGCTGAGGGTGCAGCTCAGTGGCACAGGGCCTGCCCGGCACGCAAAAGGCCCAGGGTTGAATCCCAGCTCTAGAAAAAGATACAACAGCAAATACAGATGCCAAATCAAATCCTTCCTCTGACAATAATTTGCTTAATATCTACAAACACCTTGTGCAGCAGAGGTTCAATTTTGTGTGAAGGGAAAAACAAAGTAATCAGAAAACATTTCCTCGTATTTTAAGGTTACAAAATTTGAACATTATTAGTGAACTTTACATTTTTCTGGAGATTGAAGTACTTCATGGACAATGAAATGTCACCACTTGTTTCGAAAAACCCTTATTTCAGGCAACATACCAACTTAGGCATTGCTGTGAAGTGAAATGCTCTGTCCAGTCGCAGCTTCCTAAAAATGTAAGCTGCATCAAAATGCTGTGCATTTATCAAGTCTTGCTGAAATTTTATAACTTCATTCCAATCCTTCAGGGCAACTCTAATCTGCAACCAGGGAGAGAAGACCAAATGTATGAAATATAATAGAACCTCTCCCACAAATGCATTACAATGTCAAACACTGGCATTTCCATCAAAGTCTGTTCGTTAGTTTTAAAAATAATGATACCTGTTTCACATTTCTACTGGGAAGAAATCACTCACCACGCTTTACCTTTTGTTTCGGCTGGCACAGCTGTGTGTTATACAATCCGTACAGCAGATACAAAGCACCAACTCTGATCTGGAAGGTGTATGGAGGTAAAAAATAGCGCCAAGCCAAAGTTAAAGCTTCTTTTGTAAACATGTTCTTTTTTAAATTTCTCATTTTGCCACTAGAAAATAAGAAGGAAATAAATAAATGATGGACAAAAGCCATTAGAGACATATGCTAGGTAAACAGCAGTTGCTAAGAACTGGGTAGAAATCCTGTACCTGATCCTCTGGGGATTCAAGCAGAACGAGCTAATTTTCTACTTTGCTTCTGACACTGAGGCACACGTTAAGATAAACATGGAGCGGCTTCCAAAAGTGCCAATCTTATTTGCCAAATTGATTATTGGAGAGGAGGCTTCAAATTAACATAGAATATTTTTTACTTATTTTTATTTTATGTGTATGAGCATATTGCCTGAATGTAAGTGCACCCATGTCATGCAATGCTTGGGGAGGTCAGAAAAGGGTGTCAGATCCCCTGGAACTGGAGTTATGGATGATTGTTAGCCACCATATGGGTGCTGGGAATTGAACCTGGGTCCTCTGCAAGAGCTGTCAGTGCTCTTAACTGCTGAGCCATCTCTCCAGCCC